CAAGGTGTCTTTCAGCTGCCTTTGAAGTGATTTGATTTGATTTGATTACCACCAAAGTGCTACTTTTTAATACTTCACTGCTCATCAGCTCTGGGCTGCTCCAAATGAAATATTAAACCCAATGGCTTAAACCATTGTCTGAACAGGACCAGGCTGGAGAGATGCTATGCTGAAAAAATGCATTTCAACATCCAAGAGTGATGGGAGCATAAATATGTTTGATTGTGACAGCTTGGCTGATGAGCATTAACTCATTAACTGATGGAAACTTGCCTTTCTAAAGCCCCATATCCCTTTCTTTCTGGCAGTTTTACAAGTGCTAATTTCAGTGCCTTGTCCTCAATGTTGATGGAACCTGAAGGGTTCCTGTAAGATCACAAGGATGTGTTTCCTTCACCAGTAGGCTGAGAAACCTGGTCACACAGAACAAGAGATTTCACTCTGTCACTGCCACTGCAGTTACAGTGGGGCATGGCATTGCTTCCCTCCTCCTTTCCCTCTAATACCTGCAGATCCCAAACCAGCTGCTGTTCATCTGCCTGGGGACCACAGTCCAGGGATGAAGGAATTATCCCCAAATACTGCTCATCCAACAAGGAAGCCTAGCAAGTCAATGCTGCACCACAGCTAAGAATATTTTTTTTTTTTTAAGGAGATGCTGTATCCTAGTCATTGGGCTTGGGAGAATTACAGCTGTGTCTGAAAAGCCTGTGCAGAGATATATTCATAGCTCTGGAGTGGATAATGCTGCCACAGTTACTGGGAAAGGAAGACTGAATCTCATAAATGTGAGAGGCTAGATTTGGTCTCCCCTGCTTTGATAGTTTCAAAATTCAGTAGTGCTGGGAGATTATTCAGTCAAAATTCAGTCATACTGGGAGCACAGCTTCCTGACTTTCTTTAAAAAAAATAATTATGGAGAGAGAGTAAAAATTAAGAGCCACAATATAATGTAGCATGTTGTTTCCTCCAGAACTTCTCTTAGATTGTCTGGACCAATCCTCAAGTCAGGTTCAATTGTTCAGTTCTTAGACAGTCTGTCATACCATGGAAATAAGCCATGGGTTTTTGGGGTTTTTTTTAGTTTTTTGGTTGTGTTTTTTGTTTGTTTTTTTAGTTTTTTGGTTTTTTATTGTTTGCATCCTCAGATATCCAGCTAATAATTTCAACATTTATGCCACAAATGTATTAAAAAACCATGCTGGTTGATCTAAATCAAAACATAACCATCATTTGAATGGCTATATCTCCTAAGAACAGCAGCATAAAAACCTTTAAGAATGTTTTGTTTTGTTTTAAAAAGATGATGGCTATCAGCACATTTTCCAACACCTGACATTTTACCTGCAGGTGGCAAGGAGCAACTTTAACTCCAGCAACAAGGCTGTAGTGAGCATGACAGCCTGCCCTGCTCTTCCAACCATATAAAAATTAGTACAGAATTACAGAATAGGTTGGAGAAGACGTTTAAGATCTTGAAGCCCCAGAGCCTTTCACAGCCCACGGGCCCTTCTGGCAGCACAGCAGTGAACGGGTTCTTCCCAAACACAGCCGAGTTCCCAGAGCAGCCATGAGATGTCAGCACAGACCGCTGCTTCTGTGCAAACTTCCCGGAGAGAAAAGCTCTCTCAGCTGAGAGCATCCCCGGTGCTCGGTGCCAGCACAACGTGGGATTGACCCCGCGGGATAAACTGTGAGCATCCCAAACCGGGTATGACAGGGACAGGGCTGCTGCAAATGCTGGCAAAGAGGGAGGGCATGGTTTGAGGGTTTATTTAGGGTTAAAGCTGATGTGTAAAACAGAGGAAGCTACTGCAGTAAAACAGCGCTACAACGCTTTAGTAACAGGAAAAAGAGTAATTTTTGCAATTTAACTAGAACAGCAATCCAGTAATTAAAGACCGGTGACCTAAACCAGGGATAGCTCAAACTCTGGGCAGAACCCAGCCTTCCAAGTAGTTTTAGCTGGCCTTTAAGAACACTTGACCAAATTCCTGTGTGCTCATTGTTTCTGGGCCAACAGCTGTGCCCACTTAGAAGCACCAGGGAATCTCTCATAACCACGGTTATATCAAATTTGGGGGGAGTTTGACTCTCTAACACAAAGCCAGGGCATTTATTCTAACCTTTTCCATCCTGAGATAGGGCAATTAAGTCTGTTAATTTGGGATTGACAGTTAGGAGGCACGGGGATATGGGTTTTTTAATCAATATATCTTGGTTAACTAGGCAGTGCTTCACTGCAAGGAATTTACAAGAGGAACCAGAGAAAAGGACATCTTTATTTAGAAAGCAGGCTCAAATGTCTTCAGGTTTTGTTTTTCCACTTTAATAGCTGAGACCATTGAATTTCATTTGCAAAAATGTTAATTAATTAAACTAATTTCCTCAAGCTGAGTCTGTTCGGCCATGACAGTAATTGGCAAGTGACCTCTCCCTGCCCTTTTCTTGTCCCAAACTGGGCAGGTTTTGTGTCCCCTGTCCAGCTGAGCAGGGTGTGACAGAGTGACTGTGACAGGCACCTGCCATCCCCACAGGAGCCATTGGCTGTGGATGACAAATGCCTGGGGCTCCTCTGCCTGACGCTGTGTCCAAAGCAGTGCTGTCCCCCTGGCCATCAGAGGTGGGGACACAGACTGCTCTGCAGGAGCAGCACAGACACACACCGAATCCTTGTGGTGCCACTCACCGGCATGGCCTCTAAACATCTTGCATATTTCCATGTTTTTCACATTCAAGGATTCTTCTGGCCTCCCTGTCCCTCTGTGGCAGCTCTCAAGTAGTCCTGAAAGGGGTGCCTGTGCTGTGGGCACTCTCGGGCAGGGCTGCTCTGCTCTGTGCACCTGCTTCTCTTCACTTTCGATGTGGCGAATTACCAACGAGTACCAACTCACCAGAAAGCAATGGGAGCTCTCTCTCCTCATCTCAGTAAAGGATTTTGGGGAAAACACAGCAAAGGACATGGTATTAAATAAACATTAATTTCAGTAAGAGGAAGAAGCTGATAAGGTCATTTCTTTCAAATTACATAAAGTCCTTTCTAGAATGTTTCCTCTTCCCCGTATAATTTTTCAAAATGTTCAATGCTAATTTGACTATTCCAAGCCATCTTTTGTTCTTTGTATTCAGAAGGAATTTCAGAGAAATTCAGTGGTTATGCAAACATTCAGGAGCAGAAGATACTCTTTATTACCATTGTGCCAGATATTGCAGGAAGCCAGAATGAGAAATTTAGGAGAGCCATGGAAATGAGAATTGCTCTAATTCAATAAGAGATTCATTGGCTTGCTAATTAGATTTGATCACTTGAGTATTTTATATTGTAGCTGTGTAAATATCTTTTAAATACCTACCACATCTGACACAGGAACTTCAAAAGCATTATAAAAACAGTAGAATAAATCTGCAGAAAAAGTTAAAGAAAAATAAATATCTTAGTTCTTTCTTGTCTTGGCAAATAATTCCCACTCTGAGATGTCATTTTATTTAATTTTACAACACTCAAAGCCACTTTAAAATAACATCTGTAATAAATATTCAAAAAATAACTCAGATGATATTTTATTGTTACAGCTTGCAGTAATGTCTCAGTAACATCATACAAATTGCATTATAAATAGTTTCACCAGCACCAAAACATTTTACATAATTCACTTAAGCACATGGAATTTTTACTACAAAGGACTTTTTTCTTACATTTCTTATAGAGCTGATTTGGTATGCTTTAAGTTGTAAAATGACTCAATTACATGGTCCCAACGTAAGGCAACATGAAAAATACCTGAAACCAATGTGGGAGCAACTAAGAATTACAAAATTATACAAATTATACTAGGTAGTCACAGGATTTCTACTGCTCAGTCTATTCAGGATTTTGAGCCTTATTCAATTCTGGTAACAAGCAAGATCTGACAAGTTAGGTCTTAGTCCAGGATTCAGAAACTCTGGTTTTGTGTGACCTTGGACAAGTTTCCTGGCTCAGTTCTCCATTCACAACAAGGCATTAAAATGCTCCTTTCTATCTCCAAAATTTGTCAGCTCTCAGGAGGTCTCTGCCACTATTTTTTCATAAAACAATTGGTACTTTGGGACTAAGAGCTGAGCTTGGTCAGGGTGAATGTGCAATCTTAAACACAGGACAGACTGATAAAATTGTTCTGGTGTCTAACAGAGGTAGGTGAACGATGCCCTTTGTGCTGTTGGAGAATGTACAAGGGACTTGCCCAGCGACAGAGGGTGCCTGACACAGCTCCTGAGTCACAGTCCTGAACTGCAGAGTGCTGAGGCCTCCAGAAATACATGATCTAACAGATATGGAGTGGAGCTCTCATCACATTCAAGACTCTATTCAGCACAACAGTCAGGGGAAAATTTCTTCAGTAACCTCAGTGGGCACTGAAGAGGAAAAACTAGATTGTTTGGCACCCAAAATGAAATTCATGTGTCCTGCACGTTCAATTTACTCAGCAGTTTCAGCACAAGATAAACATTCTAGCACAAAGCATGTGCACAAACTTCATGAAAAAGAAGCATCATCAAAACTGCAAAGTAAAAACTGAAAAATACATCAGATACATCTCCTGCATTGCAGAACTGGAAAAGCAGCTAGTAGTAAGCTGAAGGAGAGAAGTATGTAGGCTGTCATTAAGAAATTGGGGCTGTCTCCAGCAGTTAGAACATCTGGAAAACAGCTGTGTCTTTCTCTTGCAGTGCACTCACCACTGCACTCCCTGGAGACCTTCAGCATCACACCACTACCATCTGCTGGATTGCAGGACCCTGGGATGGTTTGCCTTGGAAAGGATGTGAAATGTCATTAGTTCCAACCCCCAGGGCCCTGCCCAAAGTCCCTCTCCAGCTCTCCTGGAGCCCCTTTGGGTGCTGGGAGGGGCTTTAAGGTCTCCCCAGAGCCTTTTCTTCTCCAGGCTGAACAGCCCCAGCTCTCTCAGTCCATCTCCAGAGCAGAGGGGCTGAGTCCTCTGAGAATCTCCACAGCCTCCTCTGCACTCACTCCAACAGGTCCACATCCTTCTAAGAGCTCTCAGGAGAAACCAAAATCTGGCCTGCAAGGTACTCTGAGGCACTTTGCTGAGACAGCAGAAAAGAGAAAAGAAAGCAAGAAATCTGCCTTGTTCTAAGCAACAAATGGACATGTCTGATGAGCTGCCAGCTGAAATTATTCTGGAAATACAAACACTGCAATGCACTCTCTTCTAAGGACACAAGGGTTTCCTAATTGACAACACCTGGAATGTTTCACTGATTTACCAGAGTCTTTGTGTTTTACAGCCACCTGTGAGGAAAAAGGCTTACAGCAGCTGACAAGATACTCGGCCTTGCACTCTTATTGCCCCTAGTGACCAGATGGACCAAGTAATGCAAATTGTCAGGCTCTGCAGGGCTCTGTAGCTGCAAAGGCACCTGTTGCTCACAGAGCCTGCTCACGCTGCCGTTTCAGACCCACCACTCTTGCTGCCAGGAGGAACACGGCCCCAGTGAGCACTTCTGCCACAAAGGAGATCCAGACCAGTGCCAGGGACCAGCCAAACCTGATATCGATTTCCACCAGGAGGTCCTTGCTCCTCAGGAGGCAAACAGCTTCTTGGAAGGCAGCAGCTGAATATGCAATATAGACACTGATTCCTGTAAGGGTAACGAGAGCTGAAAAGAGAAACATGTTCAGCTACTTAGCAGCCACTGAAGAAATTACAAACAATCAATTGGATATGTCTTGGGGCCTCTTTCCCACTCCTTCCTATTCTAGCCAGGCCAGATTTACAGATTATCTTTGAAATCTAGCTGAGGTTGGTTTCTTGGGCAATGAGGGTGAGAGGGAAGTAAAGGCAGGGTTATTTGTGTCCGCTGAGAATAATGTGTTCTCACTGTTAAAGACTGAATCACAACATCTGGCAGCAAGCCTCCCTCAATAAACATCCAGTCCTGTATTTTACAGATATCTAATGCATGTGCATCTCTATTTTCAGGGCTGCATTGTAATGTATCCTGATTCCTCACTGCTGAGCACCACGGACAGTTGTCTCCCTGTATGCAAGAAAGCCCACAGAGACCCAGATTCTTGATTTTCAGGTCACTGAATTGAGGCTGTTCCCTGACTATTGTCAGTTCTGAGTGTTTAATGTAAATTTGTTTTGTCACTATCATCTCCCACCAAGTGTTGTGCTGCCATGACTATCCGTCACTTCCAATACCTGAGTCAAAGACATCTTTGGGACAGACTAAAAATAAATTAATAATGGCACTCAAACAAGGAGCCAGATGTTTTCAGAAGGAAAAGACTGTTCAAAAGGTGGCAAGTGCAGGGAATGGTACATCTGGAACAGGTACACACTGCATCCTGAGCCTGGCATCCCTGTCAGTCAAAGAAGGAATGATGGAAATCACCCTTTACTAGATCAGCAGCAGAAAAGAGGCAGTAACAAGGCCCTGGATAAAAAGACTGCAGCCCAGGGAACGTAAATACTGAAACACTTTTAGGACAAAATAGTGGATTTGATTCTGAGAGAGAAAATTTTGGCATAGCTTTCTGTTAAATTACAATAAGTCCTGATGAGCTGCCTTTTTGCCAGAAATATATGTTTGATTAGAGGCAAACCAAGACAGAAGAGCATGGGGTTATCAGTCCAAATGCTTACTCATATTCCTGATTTTAACTATCATCTGATGCCTGTACCTTATTCTAGTCCTCTGCAAGGAGGGGGTAAAAATTGCTTCATACCTTTTGTCAACAGAAATGGAAAAGACTGATTTGTTTACATTTGCAACAAGGTGCACTGAATGCAATCTCCCTTGCCAAAAAAAAAAAAAAAAAAAAGGAAATCTATAGGATGTCCTGACATGTGGAGCATATAAGTCCTGAGGGTTTAAAAAACTCCCACATTTCTGCAATGGCATCTCCAAATATCTCTTTCTGCTGAGAGAGAGTGACCTAACTAACACTCAACTTTGTGCATTTGAGTGTCCTCCAAACTGTTCTGTGCATCTAGCCAGAGCAGGGTGGGGGGCTGGTGTGAGCCAAAGGCACCCCACAGTCTGCTGCTGTTCTCCTGGGTCACTGCACCAGCTGCATGCCCAGACCCTCCTCAGGCACCCCTCTCCTGACTTACAGAAGCCTCTGTGCTTCCTTTCCCTCCTCGCAGCCCCAAAGAGCTGAGAAAGAACCCTGCTCCACTCCCCAGTGGGATAATCATGCTTGGCACTTGACAGCCTTTCATCTTTCACTGACTGTCTGGAGCAGTTTTCCAGCAGCCTTTTCAGTGAACACAGCTTTCTGCTGCTCGGATAACTAGAACTTGCTCTTCTTTTTAGGAGACAATCATAATGGGGGATGGTTGGTCGGTGTTAGAGCATTTCAGACTGAAAAGCTCAGTCAAGGCTTTGAGACAGCAGCATTTGCGTCCAGCAATCTCTTAGCATTTTCTTCTTAAAAATAGGACTTTATGAGCAGTTGATGAGAGGCAATTCTGAGGATCCCCTTTTCTGTTGGGAAAAATTTCTGTTTTAGGTTACATTGTGAAACAGCACTGAAAATCTGTTTGAAACAGAAGATGCAGATTTAAACAAGTTTTTCCTACTTTGACAGAATGTTTTTTAATTCATAAATTACTTTCTAAAACACAGTGGGTTTGGATACAGCAGCAAAGAAAAAAATAAAAAGAAGTGTAAAAGCATTTTACTAGCTTCAAATTGAAATGTCACACTCCAACTAAAATAACTTTTAGGGGTTTCCTTTTGTGACCCACAGTTTGGGGGCACCACTCTAGATCAAAACTAGCAGTGAGGCTAAGCCAGGAATGCCTAAAAAGTCCCTTTTCAGGAACTCAATGCAAATGCCTTTTAAAAACATCAGTTTTCTGAATAGCTGCAAAATCTGTGCAACCCTACGATTTACTAATTCCATGGTCACTTTTCCGTCACCCCGTTAGCCTGTCTGTAAAGAATTTGTGCACCGTGCTGAGAAGTTATTGAATCTGTAGTGTCAATGGGCACAGCACACACAGACTGTTCAAAGGGTGGCTCGCTCCCCAAGAGGGATATTTGCCTTTCCTCAGTAGCTCTGTTCCAGAACCAGGACCCCAGCAGGCACCAGGTGAATGAACACCAGCACTATTCTGAAAGCAAATTCCTGCTTTTAATCCCTGGGAAACAAAGTGATGTTTCCCAGGTACAGCCTCTGGTTGTCTAAAACAGTTAGGCCAGGAGTTTGATTTAGTACCTCCAAAAAGGAAAAGCAGTCCAGTCATTAGGAGCAGTAGGTAGGCCCTGGCAAGGATACTGATGAATCCAGTCATTCCTCCAAAAATCATCAGTATCAGGCTGAGGGGCATCAGGATGACAAATGTTCCATGCATGTCTGAAGAAAAATGAAGAGTGTTAATATTGTAATATTTTATTATGATGTCAGTAGATGTACCAGTAATTATTAAGTGCAGAGCCCCTGATCAGGATCAAAGCCTCATTTTGTGCAGCACCAACAAGAAATTGGACAAGCCCTTGGGTTTTCAGGGTAAATCAGCAGGACAAACATATGGTATGGAGGAAAAGGTGGCAGGCAGAACAAACCCTCACAGGATCCCAGCCTGTGTTTCAAACAGAGACCACAGATATGGAGGATATGAATACACAGATATATATGAGCAATCAAACTGTCCTCAGCTCGTGAGCCAGCTGGATATCAGGTGATGCACTGCACCCCATGTAGGCACTGGCAACCCTAATGAAAGTAGCCCTGTTATGTGAACCACACTGTTCTGCTTGGGAGGTGAGATCCAGCCATGCTTTGATTAAAGGTTTCTCTTCTGTCACGTGTCCTCTGCTGCACTGATGTGGCAAATTGTTGACCTTTTCCTTTGTTGCAGCTGACCATCAACTAGAGGTAAATTTTCCCATCCAGCTCTGATTCTGTCTGTCACTGTTTTCTACAGCAGCTTCACTAAGTGCATTAACTTATCCTGCTTGCTTCCTCCCATGCTAAATGTTTTACATTAGTCTTTCTTGATCCCTATAACATTTTAATAGCTGTGTAAACAGAGGGTTGCTATGTATTTTTTCATATCACCCTGGTTTTTTCCATCATAAACCATTATTGTGCCATTGTTCCCTCTGACGTAATCTATCCACAACATTCAACCCAACCTTATTTTAGAATAATCAAAAAAAAGTAATTCCAGTATCAATTTGTTTAATCCCAGAGTAAAGTGCAGAGTAAGTGAGAAAGAATATGTAAAATCCATATTCTGAAGAGGTCTAGGCTTCATTGTCTCATTTAATTTCACAGAGGAGCAATACACCATTAGCTTAGGAAAAGTAATCATTTAAGAGCTCACAGTTGGTGTGTGATCAAATGCTCAATTTTTGCAAGTCACTGTAACTGCCCATGGAATTGGAGCTGCTGCATCTGCCACTGGCTAAGGATCCAGCTCGTCCTCTACAGCAGCATTACAAAGATCAGACACAATTGTGTGCATGTCTCTGCTCAGTTCCAGAAGCAAACAAAGTTTTGGGAGGTGACAATATTTTGGGGGTTTTTTTCTGCTTCTGGTATTATATTTTCATATTCAGTCCCACATATGCTGACATCAGGAGCAGCTGATGCTCAGAAATCATGAATTCAACATTCTGCAGTGAAGAGAGCACTTCTCTCTTTGATTCTAAAGCTGAGGACACTCCCTGGGCCTTCCTCCAGCAAAACTGGCCACGGCTGCTGTTCCTGGCCAACAAGCACAGACCTAAAGCAATTCCCAGTGCTAACAGCCAGATCAATCTCCAGCTCACTGGGAACAAACCAGCACGTCAAAACTGCCTGCAAATCTCAGCTGAACTCCAAGGTGAGAAATAGCCATGGCACTTAGTTCAGGAGTTTTGTGTGGTTAGAAGTGGTTGGGGTGTGCTGAGACACAGTGCGGCAGAACAGAGACTGGGCACCCATTCAGTGCTCATATTCCAGAGGGGCAGCAGCCACAGGAGTGTGGTATTCAGCCACATTTGAGCTTGCTGAGGGTTATTTGGTGTCATTTTGATGATTCCCCACCATTCTGACATCCGTGTGTCACTTTAGCTTTGGTCTTGCAGTAAAAGGTGAAAAAGGTTGGGAGGATAAAATCTTGGGAGGATGAATTGACATTTGAAAAGTATGAATGTAGGAATGGTGCAACTCTGTCCTCAGAGCTGGCCTTGCTGAGAGAGAACAAACATGACCAAGTTCATGGCTGGCTCTCTGCTTTGTGATTTTCCAGGTGTCCCTCGCCAGTCCAAGTCCCTGCTCACAAACTCCAGCTCAGGACAGCAGCACTAACTCGGCATTTCTTTGACTTTTCTTGTCTTGGTGTGATTTCAGCTACTGCAACCTGAGCCAGGACACGTGGGTGAGCAAAATACACTCTGAATGGAACTTTGTGAAGGAAAAGGAACAGAAAACCACACCAAAGCATCCTTGGGAGTTTCCTAGATTACATTAATCATGTGACAGTTGCAATATCAGAATAACTCTGATTTTTGTGCCCTCTTCAGTGAAAATATAGGGTATAGGGATAGCTCGGACATGTGGGTGAGCAAAATACACTCTGAATGGAACTTTGTGAAGGAAAAGGAACAGAAAACCACACCAAAGCATCCTTGGGAGTTTCCTAGATTACATTAATCATGTGACAGTTGCAATATCAGAATAACTCTGATTTTTGTGCCCTCTTCAGTGAAAATATAGGGATAGCTGAAACCCACAAACCTCACTGTGACAGAGCCTTACTTTTCCTACCTACAGCTGGGATCACACTTCTCATTAATCATTGGCAGCTTTTTAAAAATCAAATATTTAGTGAATTCTATTTGGTTAAATAGTACTTTTATAATCTCCAGTGTTCTAGTTCAATATCTAATACTCATTTGTACAATGAAATCTGAAACTGCCTGGGAAACTTATTCTAAAATGCTACCATGGAAACCACTCAGGAATCTGAATTCATGCCATCTGGCATATGATATTATGCCATTATATTCCTTGATTAGAGGAACAGAATTAGTTTATAGAAGAAAATGACTTAAAATATCTTTAGTGTGTTTCTGTCTTCAATAATCATCTGTGAAAGAAGTTAGAACATTCATTTTGCAGTCATTTTACTGGGTTTTTTAGTTTCTGTTGAAATACACATTTATGAATTATGTATTAAACATATAAAACATATAACTGTCTTCATATTGATGAAATTGCTCTAATATTGGGGAAAGAAAAAAAACACCCTAAGCATTTTGCACAGGAAGAGACATGTGCACTTTCTTGTAAAACAGAATTCAGTTTCCCACTTCTACTTCTCAACACCTGAGTTCCCTGTTAGTCCAGCATGAAAGATCCAATGATTTAATCTTGGAAATACTGAAACAAACTCATAGACTTTTAGAAAACACTCACTTTTTTTTGAAGCAAAAAAGAATCAAATTGCTTAATAGCAGTTACTGAAGTTTTACACTAGCTAGCCAAAGCTCTTTTACTAGAGCTCTGGCCAAATATCTGTAAGAATGACATCTGTGTGTGTCCAGAACTGAGGATTTGGCAGGCATCTCTAAATTACCACCCAACACAGTTGTTGAGGAGTTGTTTGTGAGAGAAATCTGTGGAATTAAATAAAAACACTGAGCAGGTCAGAAATAACCAAGTGCAAGCCCAGCAGCTTTGTTAATCATCTCCTGTTAACATCCTGCAGCTTAATTGCTTCAAACTAACTTTGGATTTGTTTGCACAGCTTATAATAGCAAATAGTGCCTAGAAATCTGTAATATCACCTCATCAGAAATACTCCAAATGGCAGTGGCTCAGAAGAGCTTAATTAAGGGCCTGTTTGTCTTACCCAGCAGTAACTAAAGAGGCAGTCAGAAAGACAAAAGCCTCCAGCTGAAGCAGACTCCTGGCAGTTGTTTAAACCAATGGGGCTGCTCCAGAAGGACTTGGCAAGGCCAGGAAGAAAAAGTGCACAGAGAAAGTCTGACCTGCTTGCTAGGAAAAAAGCAAGGAAACAACTTAGGAAACCAGTGAACAACTGAAAGAACTTGTCTGTGGCTAAATGGGAATATTCTGTGCTTAGGCCACAGGGACGGGAAGGCTGGATTCCCTCCTGTTCAACAGAGAAAAGGTGATGGAGGAGGATTGCTCACAGAGTTAGGGGTCTCCAGGATGATTAGCCAGGCTCTGGTCTGTGTGTTACATGTTTTGGCTTCCTGCTTTTCTCAAAAAATCTCTGAGCTGAACAGGAAGACCAATTGCAGACAGCAGAAATAAAATTATGCTAGACCTGGAGCAGGTGGCACTGACAAAAACTGCAGCAGCTGGAATGGGCAGAATGATGAATGTGAGCAGTGCACCATGGCTCACGTTCTGTTGCTGTGGTACCAATGAATCTGAAAGTAAGAATATTCATCAGAACTTGTCACTGGTTTGGCCTCAGCTGTAGTGGTGCTGAAGTTATCTGGGCTTTCTGTATATATTTACTGTTATATCTACAGTAAGAACTGAAGCAGATGTCCACTGGCACCTCTCTGAAGGAACAGTGCACTGTTGCAGGTACACACCTACCAGACCAATTAAGCCAGAATTTCTGTGAGCATCATTTGGGTCTCATTTCACTTGGCCTCTGAAATGGCTTTTGCTCCAGCCCCAGCTGTTTCCTTCTGGTAGCTTCAAACCAAAAGAAAATCTGCAAAGAACTGTAAATCCCTCAGGAAAAAATGTCACAGTGGCCAAAGAATAGAGCATTCTTTCCAAGTGCAACTGAGTAAATATGGAGCAGGGTAAAGTGTGAAAGCAGCTGGTGCCTGACTGTTACAGGGTCCACATGCTGTGAGGAAATCCAGACAAGTTTATCTCTACTATTAAACCCATTTTGTTGAGGAAGAAACCAAGGCAGCTGTTACATTAAAAAACTGAGGTATCAGAGCTGCCTCTGCTGCAAAGATCATTTCCCTGCAGGAAGCACGAACTTGAGTGCAGCCTCATGGTTCCAGTTACATTCGTGTCTAAAAAAGAAAAAATAAAAATACTCTGGGGAGAATACTTTAAGCAGTTGTGCATGGGCAGCTGCACGCTCCAGTCTTGATTTTAGAACAGGAAAAACAATATGAGTGGAAACCACATCCATTAAACACTCATTTCTAGATGGGTCAGGAATAGAGGAGAGCACTAAAAATGGACCTGTAGAAGGAGACCAATCACTGGCCATATTGTTCAAATCTGACAAAACATCAGGACTGCCAGAGGCTTAATCTTACTTTGCAGGTACCTAATGCAGATGGTTTGTGTGTCACACAGACAGTAAGAAAGAACAGCTGTTCCTCTCACATTATTTTTTATAACTCCAGCCCCAGCTCTGCAGTGCTGGTGGGACCCTGCAGCAGCTCAAGTGCAAAACTGAGATTTAAGAGAAATTGTCTGGTTTTGAATAGAAATATTTACTATATTTTTCATTTTGCAAGGATTACACTGGTACTGCCTTCAGCTAAATGTGTACTGGCATTTATTTATTATTAACAACATAGGCTTTGGTAAATGGAAAATATTTAAATTAAAAAAATAAAAAATGTCTAAATTTCACCAGTGTAACAAGTTTAGGTTTCTTGTTTGGGTTTTTATTTTAAGAAATTCTTTTAGAAAACTTGAATTCTGGGGGAAAAGTTTACAGCTGATTAAGCACTGCCATTCCTTCTACTCAGCAGCTTCCCTCTGTCTCTGTGTGATCCTCAACATCAAGATCTGATTTTGGATATTACATTTCTGCTACTGGAAAATGGCAAAGCTGCTCAGAACTCGATGCAGCTTCCTTTGAAGTCAGTGACGTCCTTATTTTGTCATTTAGAGAGAGATCGATTCAGCTCACCATGAAAAATGCTGTCTTTCTGCTTGTCTGCCATAGCTGGCACAGGAGAACACATGGCAAGGCAAAATATCAGAGGTGTCTTTGCTGACAAATTTTAATTCTAAGGGGAATTTTCAGAGGGCTATCTTTAATCCTAGTAGTCACCAAGACACTCTAATAACTGTCTAAATTACTGAAAGTGATTGTTTCATTCTATTCCTGTTTGGGCCAGAGGAAAGTGTACATCTCCAGCAAAAAATAATTTTATTAATGCAGAACTTTCAGAAAAGTTACTGGTAGGCAGTCGAGTGGTATTTTTCTTTAGACAGTGGCTGATGTTTTAAACAAATAAATAACCAGGCCATAGTGTAATCTGTAAGAGGGAAATATTTTATCCACGGTGGGTTTGAGGGGAGGGAGGGTATACACTGCATGTTCAGCTGGGGGGAGTGGTAAGAGAAGAAAGGGAAGGCTAATGAAGAGGAGGAGTGTGTTTGTGTCCAGTCCATTAGAGGAGCACAAGAGCACTCCTGGGATGTGAAATACATCACAGTCCCAGGCTCAGCAGGCCCTAGGTTGATTGCCTGGGTGATATTCCTGCTAGCACAGGGTTTTAACTCGTGCGCCCAATTATTTTAATTTGCCAGGAGCTTGATTTGAAGTACACAATAAGGTTAAAAGGAATCTGCAGGGATGAATAGGGGAGATATTGGAAATGTGGAGGAAGGGACCATGGAGGATTTCATTCTCTAATGAAGGGTTTGTCTTCTGGCAGTGGCCAGCACTTCTGTTTCCACGTAGGCCCAGCTCTTTGCACTCACACAGAGACTTTCTCCAGTCTCTTTGGCATTTGTGTCTGGTTCAGACATGCCAGGAAGTGCATTCAAACTCTGGAGAATGAGGGATGTGACCAATGTGTGACTTAAGTGCCTACTTTAGGAGACAGTTCTCTAAAATCTTTTTAGGAATAATCAGAAAGAAACAGGTTTGATGTTGCCAGAGCTCATGAAGTTCAGTGCCAATCAAATAGTGAGAAATAGAAGTGTACAGCTAGATGGAATGAGATTAATCCCATGTGACTGTGCCTCCCAGACACCTTCACAGGCACACAGAGAGAAAAATGCCATTTTTGGGAAGTAGCCAATTAAAGCTGTGCAATTAGCTTGTTTGCCACATATAGCAGCAGATGAAGAAACTACATTGCAATCCATGATCACAGAACTTCCCTCCAAAATTCTTGTCAAAATGTGTTGTAGATGAATAGGTTTTGCCATGATCTGCCTAAATATGATTCAGTGGCCACAGTCAGAAACATTTAAGAAAGAAGAGTAAAGCTGATGTAGAAGGTACTATCTTAGGACCTGAAGAATCTAGATGTCACTTAGAAATATCTGTATTTGCTAGAAGGAAGAAGTACTGACATGGTACTTTCTAAGTTCAGCTGCTACTGCTGAGCCACACTGGAGCTGCACTGAAGCTGAGCAAAAAAAATCAAAAGGTTAACTAAGAAGGGCATTCCAATCAAACATAGCAGGTTCTTTCAATTGAAATATCTTTGATTTCTTCTCTCATCATTTTTAGGCAGACTGCCTGTTTATAATAAAATATGCAAGTGTCTTTGCAGACCTGAAGTCTTTTTCCAGGAACATAAAAATAGTACTTGATGTGAAAGTGAGAGAAAAAAACCTCTCCAAGGCCCTGAAGAGTCTGTAAACATAATTATTAATACAATTTTTATTCATATCCACTATTTTCTTACACTTCATGACTCACAAAGAGCCATCCTTTGTTTCCAAGCCAACATCATTTGTATAACAAAAAGAGCACTGCTTTTTGGTTTTGTTTTGTTATTTAACTGAAGAGCTGCAATCTCTCACCTGAGAAAAATAACCTTTTGCAAATGTGCACAGAACTTTTGAAAAGCAAATGGGTTCATCCTGAAATGCTGGACTATCACCAGCATACCAGTGGAGGTGCTGACACTTAAAACATGATCGGGGTGGTTCAGTTAATGCTGACCCCTGAAAGGCTGGAGTGATCCAGCAGACAATCACTGCCACTGATTTCAGAGGCACTGAGCAGCTACAGCCCTCTGCTTTGAGCAAGGAGATCAAAGAAATGGCACTTCCTATTTGAGAGCACAGACAGACATGCTGGGCTGTAGGTCCTGGATGTGTTTACATGCTGGGCTGTAAGTCCTGGATGTGTTTAAATGCTGGGCTGTAAGTCCTGGATGTGTTTACATGCTGGGCTGTAGGTCCTGGATGTGTTTACATGCTGGGCTGTAAGTCCTGGATGTGTTTACATGCTGGGCTGTCAGTCCTGGATGTGTTTACATGCTGGGCTGTCAGTCCTGGACCTGCTGATGTGTTTATTTGGCTGCTTCAGGAGCTCACTGGGATCTGACTCCTCCTGAACCTTCCCAGGACAGCTGTGACACAGCCCCAGCACCTCCCAGGCTTCCTCTGTGTGCTGCGCCTGCAGCTGGACCACCAGGTGCTGCTCCAAGAAAGGATAAAGACCCTTTAAGCCTCTCTGGAGCCCAGGGAATGGCTGGTTTTGAGGGAAATAGTTCCATTTTAAGAAACAGGACAAATGCATGTATTCTGCAGAGTCAGGGAAAAGTGAGTAAATAAAAAATTGTAAATAACAAGCCCAAACAGGAGGGTGTGTGAGGAAAGGATTGGGCCAAATATATGATGCAAAGATGGTAAATCATCATCTTCTAGGAGATGCCTGTAAGTATTTGAAAATGCTCAGTTTGGACTTTTTGAAAACATTCTGGCATTGACAAATGAATCTAAAGAAAAATAAGAAAATATATTAGAAGCCTAATGTTTTTGAACATTATGTTCTTCAAAGACTTTGAACACTGCTTTTGGTCATTGATTTATTTTCTTAAATTCTCCCACACTTAAGTCTTTTATCAGTGCCAGAAGTCCCACTGAAATGCTAGAAAAGTAGCTGTGTTAAAGATTAGTTTAAATGTGTTCTTAAGCATTTTCAGTGATCAGACTCCTTTGAGGTGACTGTGAACACTTTTGCCTTTTATTTTTAGCAATTGTGTACCTTCCTGTGCCATTCCAGTCAGAGATTTAGCTCTTGTGGAAGAAATTAGCTGAACTTGTCACCAAATAGATGGTTATTTCAACAGTAAACACACTTAAAGACCACAGGCAGTGACAGATATTGTACAGAAGCAGAGTCAAAACACTTTCTCAGTGAATTCCCCCCCTGAATCAGAAATGAGTCCTTGTAATTGGCCAGGGAGGGAGGGAAGGCTGGATGGAAATACAAAATAATATAAACGCTACTCACACAAAAGCTGTCTGTGTGAATCGGTGATGTTCGCATTCTCATGCCAGAAGGGGTTTATCAAAGGGTAACATTCACTCCTCACTAGTAGAAAAAGGGGGAAAATTACACTATTATATCTGGTTTTATATATATATTTGGTTTTTGCATGTACATCTAATTCATATAATACTAGCTGCTTCTAAAACAGCCACTCCTAGGTAGGGAAGGAAATGAGAGGATTTTTAGCATGCAGCATCAGCCGCTCCCATGGGGTCTGACCACTGGAGTCAACAGGGAAACATCTGCTCATTGCAGAGGGGCTCAGTGCACAGCAAGGAGAGAATTCCTGCAACCTGCTCCTTCTCCCTGCTCCTCTGGAAACAACATCCTTTCTTGCCTATGGCAAACATTACTTGCTCCTGGCTTTTAAGAGTGCAATCAAAGCTAAAAGTTAAATGCCTAGTATATAAATTAACTACATGGGGAAAATCCTATATATTGATCTATAGGATTATAATAATCCCATATGATGATACATAATAATATTTATATTTAAATTAATTGTATTGTTTATGTAAATAAACTATATCGTGTTTATATTTTTATTTGTTGCATTATTATTTATAATTTTAATGGCTTTAACCCAGAACTTTCGCCCCTTAATTTCCTGAGCCAAATGAAAAGACATCTCCTTCCTTCTAAATGGTTAACGTTTATTAGATTATCTTGAATTAAAAGTTAATGTAAAATCAGGTTACAGTAGCAGAAAATTCGCTCTCCCCATGTCTCCTCCGGCAAGTGACAGGGGAGGTATTGACAGGGCACTGCCCACGGGTCCCGGGCACGGCCGGGGAGCGCCCGTCCTTGAACGGCGTGGAGCCGGAGCTCCGCGGGCAGCGGGCACTGCCCCCGAGCCGGACCCCGCATCCCCATCCCGCATCCCCAACCCGCATCCCCACCGGCGGACCCCCGCAGACGGACCCCGACCCGAGACGCCCGCAGCTGCGCCCCGCAGCCTGATCCGCAGCCGGACTCCCGCACCCCGCAGCCGGCCGGAGCGCGCAGCCCTGCCCGCAGAGCCCGCCGGCGGAGCGCAGCGCTGCGCTGCCCCGGGCCGGCCCCGCGCACTCACCGCGGCAGGTCCGCCAGAGCCCCGAGTGCGAGCTGAGCGCGTCCGTGCCGTTCTGGGACGCCTCCAGCTTGGAGGCATCGATGATGTACCAGAAGTCGGTGGCGATGGCCACCACGAGGAAGATGAAGCTCGAAAGTCCCACCAGGGCCACGAAGAAAGAGAGCGCGCCCAAGTTAACCCTCATGGTGCCGCCGCCGCCGCGCCTCGCCCGGCGCCGCGGCCGCGCAGGTAGCGCGGCCCGAGCCCCGCCCCGGCTGCTCCGCGCCCCGCGGGCGGACCGGGCACCCCGCGGCCGCGCAGAGACCCCGGCCGCCAGCCCGAGCCCGGGAGAGCCCCCGCGGGCGTGTGCGGAGCGAGCGCGGAGCCCCGGGCGTGCCAGCGCTGCTCGCGGAAAGGGACAGGGAATGGGGATCCCCATCGCTCCGGCAGCCTCGGGATGGGCTCGCCTCGGAAGGGAGAAAGCTCCTGCATTCCAAACAGCACTGTCTGTGAGGGGAGGAGGAAGCAGAAGCCCAGGTTTGGGGAGCAGAAACACGGTTTGTGCTCCGGCAGCCCTTCTGGTATAGTTACAAGAGATTCTCTCTTGTTCTGTGCCTTCCAGCTGCCGACCTCAAAAGGCCAGTTCTAACCTAATTTGAAAGGGGGTGTGAGAGAAGGCAGTAGCGTGGCATTTACTGCCTGGTGCAGTGATGTCTGTACCCTGCTCAGGATCATATTCCTGTTAGAATGTCACCGATGGAGGGAAAGACACAAGCTCCCTCTCCAGAAACTACAGTTACTGAGATGTTCATGTGTGAGCCCTAAAGCCATACTTCACCCAGCCTCCTGCTCATCTTCAGCCCGCTGAAATCTGTTGAGTAACAAAGTGTGTTTCAGTAATAGAACCTTGTTTTCAAACCTGCAGAGAATTTACTCTGGTGTTTTACTGCATCTCTTCACTGGCATAAAGATACTATGCAGGTAGGGTCAATGGGGCAACTTGTTTTTTTCCTTGTAATTCACTTCAGGCCTTCCAGGGAATTGCTAAGTAACTCAGAGTAATTAAAAAAGTCATTCTCATTTATTTTCTGGCATGGACACTGGGCAGAATGTGTGACATCATTACCCATCCATGGCAACAAGCTATCGTGAACCAGTAGGGCTTCGGCAGTAGGATCAGTTAAAAGGAACATTTTCCTTGAGAGAGAGTGTTTAAATAAACACAGTAATCATCAGCACTACAGACCACATTTTGCTCTGCAAAACTACTGAAAGGTGTATATGGCTGGGAATATAATTGTCTTTATATTCAGGAATACACTGTTAAGCAGCCACAGCATCATTCTGAGATCTTGCCATCTATTTCCCACATCTCCAAGTTGTATTTGTAATCTGTGAAAATGCCTCTGTAGTTCCACAAACCAGGCAGCTGCTAGCTCCTTGTAATTACAATGTTTGGGTGATACAAAGTTAATGAAGCAAAGTGAAATGTTTTGTTAGACTAACTAATGCAGGGAGACAAAATGAGCAAGCCTTGGGGCACAGTCTTAACTGGGATCCCAAGTTTGTCTCTTTTTTTCCAACTACATTTGCAGTGTTACTTGAAAGTTTAAATTAGCCCCACAAATACCATGTCTTAGAGGTTGTATCAGTTCTCTTCTCATAAATCTGAACCAGAGGCACTCATACTCCTGAATCATCACTCCTCAGCAATGATCTGCCACTGTCATCTCCCAGTTAAATCCAAGGGAAAGCAAAGGGTGTAACACTGTAGGAACATTTAATCCAGTTGGATACAAGCTGTTAATCAGGAATGAGACACTTATCAGTGATACTCTGTCTTGGAGAGGTTTTGTTCTGATCTTGGGGCCCAAAAAGTTTGTACATGTGCTTATTTTTAGAAACTTTATTAAATAATCTGTTTCAGCCATCAAGATGTGTGCAGGTCCTTGTAGACTCTGCCTAGACTAACTTTACAGTAAACCTAAATTAGAGCCTACTAATGCCAGGTCCTTTTCTGACCAGGCTGATGACAAACATTTATATCAAGAGTAAGTCAACTCTACATAAAGGTTTCATTTCCACATCACCATGCCATGCTAGGGAACAAATAATTCCAGAGAAGTCAGAAAACTAAAAACATAGTTAACAAAACAATTTCATGTATTCACTGGGAAATGTTTATAATGAAAGGAAAAAGCCAGTAGTGCAAATCATTTTCTCTTGAGACTCAGTTTCAATTTCCTGAGATCTCTGAATGTTAAACTAGGATCTATAGCATTAAAGATTCAAAATTTTAATCTAGGCTTAGCTTTATGGAGAAGGAACACTTTGCTTTGCATAGACTAGGTGTTGGTTGCATCTGCCAAAGTCAATCTGCTGCTCAGAACAACAAAGATAATTCAGAATATGCTCTCAAAGTTGCAGTCAATTATTAGTCCCCAGAGTGTGATGCAGCAAAAGCATCAGTCTTTTCCAGCCTGAGCATGGCAAAGCTTGTGTAACTTTTACCCTCTCTGTTCTGCTTGCAGGGTTACCTGGGTGCTGGAGGATTCAAAGGGCATTGTGCTCTGGGAATCATCAGCTTTGCTTCCCAGGACTTTTCCTGGGTAAAATTCATCTCTAGGGCAGTTCCTCCTCAACTGTTCTGAACCTGTGCTGTTCAGGTGCAGCAGAACCACACTGAATTCCTCCATTTTCCCCAGTGTTTCTTTATTTCATGACCTCTGCCCTGTCTGTATTTGTGAAGAGGTGCTGCATTAGTAGAAGCAGATTATTTGTAAACTGAAGAAGGCAGGGATTCCCACAAAGTTTCCCCACCTGACTGCAGGAAAGCCAGGCAGTGCAAGTGTGCACCAATGACTGTAATTAACTGCTGCCATGGCAACAAGCAAAATCAACACATCTAATTTAATTCACAATCCTTTTCCAAGAAATATCACATTTTTCTCTCCTGTTTTTGTTGTTGTTGTTGTTCTTTTTGTTGAATGAAGAATTAAATTCAAAGGCAGTTTTACCATTCAGCCTTCCAGTAAAGCTAATGGGATTCTGGAGTTTATTGTTGTTTTAAACTTACCACAACTACTTCCCCTGTGGCTCAAAAGAGAAAAGCAGTTAGACAATATACACTATTACAATTTTCAGATTCACTGCCCTTGGAAATTAGTAACTATTGCTGGTTGATCTGAGGTTTGGCTACTCCTTCTCAGATTTAATATTTTCATCACGTACTTGTACACATCCAGTTTTGAAGAGTCACAACCTACAACGAATTTTAAAAAGCACTGACCAGTCACAATTTATCTCTGACGAGAGACTACAAGACATACAATGTCCTGACTCTTACTCAGTATTACCTGATCTGCCAAAAAGACCCCATGGAGTGTCAGCACATGGCACTGAATTCAAAAGGGGATTGCAGGAGGGACATACCTGAAGCAACCAGCACAGCCAACTCCTTGGTACTTGCTCAGTGGATTAAACTGGCCCAATTCATCATTTCAAACAAGCAGTTAAACCTTGGTAAAGTTGTCTGGCATGTGAGGTAAATTTAAGCAAACTCCTAGGTCACATGGCTGTGAGGAAGACAGGAAACGCAACTTAGGTGCATCCTTAAAAAAGAGGTACATCTCGGGAATTTGCTGCCAAAGCCCTCTTGTGTGTAGTGCAGGACCTGCAGCTCCCTAAACAATTTTCATTATCACCCACGTCATAACATCTGTAGCCACAGATCTTCTGCAGCCACGAGATATTCCTGCTTTGCCCAAATATTATGCATATGTGAAATGAGGTATCAGAATTTCTTAGAAAACCAATTGCAGTAGCTCCATTTCTCACGTAATGTAACTTTGTGTTTTAATGTCCCCATGCAATGGAGATTTTTAGCTACATCTCCAGTTACACAAAACCTGTGCACCAGTAAGTGCCTCTTGCTGCAGACTGGTGAGATTTTGTGACAATCTGCATTGCCTGCTTAGTACTCCATAGCAGTGAGGAGCATGCCAGCAGAGAGAGACACTGCAGTAATAATTTATGTGGCAGTGTATCACCACAGGAAGTAAAATAATGTTCTGCTCTTTCACAGAAGACAGATAAAAGGAGGACAAATCTCCAAAGCATTTTTGTCAGATATTCATCCAATAAAATTCCCCACAGAAACTGCAATGAAATATTTGAATGGCTTCTGTGTTTTCCATTTCATTGCCACTCAATACACTTAACTGTAAAAATAAGGAAAGATTATTTCATTCTTTTAATACTTATTTAATAATTCTTAGCCTTTGTTGAGGGAGGCAGATGATGAGGAGACATCTAGAAATAGATACAGACTATAAATTACATTCCAAGGTTTTTTAATCATTGACTAATACTTCCTACTACTCAAGAAAAATACAAGGATCAGCTATAGCAATTGATATCAGCATCATATGCTAATGAAGTAATTAATATGTAAATGCCCACTTTTGAACAAGATCCTCCTGCTGAAAGATAAAACAACTTCAACAGCCCCTGCAGACTTGCCAAGGAGGTGAACTAGAACACAGATGGGAGTTTGGAGCCCACCTCTGTCTGTGATTTTGCAGAGGGCTGCTCAGTGTCCAGCTGCTGAGCTGCCCTGTGCCCACACTCCATTGCACCTCCGGACTGACCACACAGCCCCAGGGCCAGACCAGCTGCCAGCTCTCACCGCCGACGAGCTTAGCTGGGAAATGACTGCCTAAAACACCATGGTCCAAAACGTAGGTACTAAAATCTGGTGGTCTAACTCTATTAGGCAAATTCCTGTTGTTAAAGCCTCCCAAAGACTCTGGTTATGATGTTTCCACTCAATGATTAACTCAGTCTTGTTTATTTCACCTGGTTCATACATAATTAAAAACTCTTCAGTTAAGTAACTGAACTCCCTAAACAAGTGAACAGCTGTTACTTCAGCTTATCTTACAGTGGTACTTGAATACTGACATCTAGACTAAGGAAGAAACGCCTATTTGCCTCCGCAGAGGTTTTCCCACTTGTTTTCAAGCCGTTTGTAGATTTTGCATGGCATTACAGACGAACCGAGAGAGGGCAAGTGATGCTAGAATAAGTTAATAAGTAAAAACGCGCGTAGCAAAGGCGTGTTCAAACTCCGAGCAAGTCCTGCGGATGCTTCAGCGCAAGCCTGACCTGCGCGGCTGGCGCTGCCTTGGCCGCCTCCCCGGCAGGCTTCCAGCGGGGCTTAGAGCCGGGCAAGTCTCAAACACAGGCGAGCCCCGAGCACAGCGGGCACCCGCGGGGGCCGCCGGGCAGCGGCGTCAGCGGAAGGAGCCGGAAGGAGCGACACCGGGAGGAGCGACACCGGGAGGGGCAGGAGCGGCTGCGAGAGGCGGGACCCGAGCGGAGAGCGCGGAGAGGTGGGATCTGAGCGGGGAAAGGGGGAGAGGTGGGATCTGAGCGGGGAAGGGGGAGAGGTGGGATCTGAGCGGGGAAAGGGGGAGAGGTGGGATCTGAGCGGGGAAAGGTGGAAAGGAGGGATCTGAGAGGCGGAAAGCGGGAGAGCCGCCGGGGGGACGCGGGACCTGAGCGGGGAGAAGCGGGACGGGCAGGTTCGGCCGGGAAGACGCGGATCCTATCGGGGGACGTGGGTCCTGCCGGGGGACGCGGGACAGGTGGGTTCCACCGTGGGGACACGGGACAGGCAGACCTGGCGGAGGGATGCGGGACAGGCGGGTCCCACCATGGGGTCAGACGGGTGCCACCGCGAGGACAGGCGGGTCCCGCCCGCGCTCCCGCGGCCGCACGGTGCCCGCGGAGCCTGGCCCGGCCGCACCGTGCCCGCGGAGGCTCCGGCGGGCCCCGCAGCAGGAGCGGAGCCCCGCGCACATCTCACAGCGCCGGGCACTGCCGGCAGGGCTGCGCTGGCTCCCGCGCCCAGCCCCGCCGGGACAGGGCAGGTTTGGAGCTGGCAGAGTTCACAGGAGTGCGCAGCCTCTGATACAGACTGCTTCTGCAGCCCGGAGTGTTGTGAGTGGATAGGTGTGATGGTCCGGCAGGGAGCTACTAAATTATCACGGGTCTGGAGCATCTGTCTTAGGAGGAAAGGCTGAAGTTGAGAGATTACTGAGGGGGGCCTTTTTAATGTGTGTAAACATCAAAGGGAGGGCTCAGAGCAGGGACCGGGCTCTGCTCCCTGGGGCCCAGGCTGTCTTAGGAGGAAAGGCTGAAGTTGAGAGATTACTGAGGGGGGCCTTTTTAATGTGTGTAAACATCAAAGGGAGGGCTCAGAGCAGGGGCCGGGCTCTGCTCCCTGGGGCCCAGCAATGGGGCAGGAGCAAAGGGCAGGAGCTGGTGCCCAGGAAGCTCCGCCTGAACGTGAGAAAGAACTTCCCTATGCAGGGACCAAGCCCTGGGACAGATGGCCCACAGAGAGTGTGGAGTCTCCTCACTGGAGATACTCCAGCACCATCTGGAGATGATGCTGTGCTCCAGAATGACCCTGCCTGAGCAGGCAGGTGGGACCAGATGAGCCACTGTGGTCCCTTCCAGCCTGAACCATTCGGTGATCTTGTTCAAGCACAACGGGATAATAGCAAATTTAGCATAACCATTCAAGACGTTAATGCCAACGTAAGTGGCCTTATTCCCTTGGAAGACCTTGATTAGGCATTGTAATTCTGTGCAGTCATGGTAAGGTTTGTTTTTTTCAGGGGAGGTTGTTTGTAACGCAAGCAAATTAGTAGCTCTTCCTAAAATACACAGTGGCTGCCACTGAACTGCTAACAGCTATGTATTTGAGGATTCTGTAAAAGAGAGCCTTGGAGCATTGCTACTTTGTTGAACAGTGTTATCTGACTTTTATCTTCTGAAATGCTGCTGAAGCAATGTTCAGACAGTGTCAGGCTACCACCAAAAGCTGCCTGTGTTTGGTTTTAGGTTGAATATCCTGAGGTTGTCTTGGAGCGTGGTGGAGCTTGCACGACCACACCTTCTCAGAAATGATATCCTGAGTTTCCCTTGGTGAGCAAAACTGTTACTGGACGCCTGTAAATGGGAGAGAATGGAATCCCTTTGTGGCAGCACTGCATCAGGGGCTGTTTGAGCACTGCAGGTGTTCCTCTCACCAGCTCCCATGGTAGATGTAGCAGAGAAGGAGATGGATAACCCCACATTCAGAAGTGACACCGTGCTGTCTGATGTGCACTTGCACTGCCCAAGCAAAAGACACCTCATGGTACGACTGAATGCAGTTGGACAGCCAGGTAATGGATGCTGGCTGATGGAGCTGTGTTTTAACTGTGCTCAGATCTTTGGAAGGCTGAATCCTCCTCTAAGTGGTTGATATTAATAGTTACATATTTTATTCCAGTTATAAGCAGAATCACCTCCTACTCAGTCTTTAGAAAGAGGACTAGCTGTGTTCTCCTCATGAAATTAACTCCAGAAATGAAATCTTGTAGACAGCTTGTCCTAAAAATTAAATTTTAAATTACTTTTTGACAAAAAGTAACCAAATTTACTCACTTGCAGGTTTAATTTAAGAGTTCATTGAGCAATACTGTCAATACAGCACTTTGGGAGTCATGATTTAAAATAAGCTTGTGATGTTTCTTACACACAAAAGGTGAGAACTCAGGGGTTTTAAATAGTGTAACTTAAGTTTAAAATATAAACTATCAATAATAAATTAATCAAGTTTAAATAAATGTTTATGTGGTGATTTACCATCCAGGGGAGCATAACAGCTTTCTTTCTTTGGGCTATGTGGTGGGGTTTCTTTTGTTTTGGTTATTTTCTGTTGGTGGGGTTGATTTTTTTTTGGGGGGGAAGGGGTGTTTGCTTCAAAAAAAAAATGTCAACAAGAAAACTCAATACAGCACTGGCTTTAACTGACATAGACTTTGAAGAGTCAAGGCTATAGAGGAAATGAGTTGGCAAATGCCCCTGGCTGATTGCCAGCTTGTAGGTTGCTATAAAGTTGTCAAGGGAACTGACCTTGAAGCTGCTGGCAAAATGTTCTGTACAAAAGTCCTGCTGTGACAGAAGTGTTAATTGTTTTTGCAAACCCAGTTGTGACATCAAAAGAGTAACTTCTGCAGCTGTTCTGGTGTATGACAATGTGAAAAATTATCAAGGTAGGCCTGACAAGGAAATGAATAATAATTTTGACCCTGTTCAGGTCAAAATGCAGGTAGTTAATGCTGTGGTGGGTCTTCATGCTGTTTGATATGTTTGCTGTGATTGTGCTTGGTGCAAAGAACCTTTCAGCAGAAGGAAGTGCAGTGTGTTCTACCTACTTCAGTGAGCTCTGTCTGGGACATTCCTCTGGTGATTGAGACAAGAATTGCATTGTAGTATGACAGCCTTTAATGCCATAACAATCTACCAGGGCCACTTTGCTGTGTTTTGGGGAAGTTTATGGGGATTTTGTCTCTTCCCCTTTGAGTCAGTTTGACTTTCCACCTTTTGAGTGCTGTAGAAGTGCAGAGGATCAGAATGGACTTGGAGAACAAAGCATTTCATTCACTGATGGCATCCTCTATTCCAATTAGTTTCATTTGGTCATTGTGCAAACAGAGGAGACCTTAAAAATTTCTCATGCTAGGACAGGCATTGAAGATTTTATTAGATCTAGCTAAAAATGGTCTCACTAGAGAGGAACCTCTGTCAGATTTCAGTAGACCACCTTGGAACATCTTGCCTGCTAAAGAAACTGGAATAGAACTCCATAAATTGTGAAATTGTTGAAAGCAGTGGTGGCAAGCACTTTATCTCTTCCCTTTTCTTGGGAATGAACCTAGATGGAAGGACTATGGAATGTCTGTTCTTCCTTATGTGTGGTATTCAGGCAGTACAGATTCTTGTAATTAAAATTGCAAGGTCCACATTTTAATAACTTAAAATTTTAATAGATGCTGATGTCACTGAGTGATTGTTGTAAAAATTTTTAATTAAGTGGTCATGAAGAATAGCTTCAGTCATTTAATCTCTTTGAATAATCAGTTTGAACACTTTTAAAAAATTACAGAAGTGTCAGCTTTGCCTCCTGTGCACTTATTTCTGTTCTTATATACTGAGCCAATTTCAAAGCTTGAAGTTGCTTGAATTCCTAAAGACTTTCAAAGCAATAAACAAAAATTCAACTTGCATTTTACTGGAACGTGCTTCTTTCTTACAAGATAGGAATCTTAACCAAATAAACAAATTCTAACTTATATTAATTCTGCTTTCAACTTAGTTTGAACTTCTGTGAACAGAACTTTTGGAGGGTGTAAGAAGGCATCCCTCTGCCAAGAGTTAAAATAAATATGACTAAATCAGACAAACATGCCCGTTGTGGCTGTGCAGATGCTGAGTCAGCCAGGGGACTGTGAAAGTGCTTTGTTAATTTCTGCTGACAGAACTTAATAACAGAAGTATTTCTTCATAGCAAATAAAACTGTGTCTCAAGTTGCTTGTATCATGTTTTACTCTGTAGATTTTTCATGCATATAATGAATACCAAAATCTCATGCATGTGGAAGTTGTGCACAGGTTCTGCCTCATCTGGTGTTTAACCTTTCCCCCCAACACTGTGTTCTTACAGTATTCCTGTCATATTTCAAACTCCTTTGGAGCACAGAAGATTTGGCATCTGGGAAACACGTGAGAGAAGTTACCACAGGAAAAGAACACCAGAGCAGAAGTGGAGATGAACTGTGTGACAAGGACAGGAGTAATGTGAAAGAAGAAGGAGAATTAAGTAGTGAAGGAGTAGAAGCTCTGCTAGATGATGACGGAGACTTGGAAGTGGTCAGAAGGCCTCGAAGTGCCTCTGATTTGCCAGCAGAGGATCTTTTGAGGGATATAGTGTGCCCTGTCATTCTGATGAAAGGGAAAGAAGATGCTTTTGAAGACGAAGAGCAGGAGTGTACTTGCAGTGATGTTGTTAAAATAGGTAAATAATAAGTTTTCAGCCAGGGAGAAATACACGTTTTAGTAAGACAAAAGAAAAATTTTCTTAGAGATGGAGCAGCAGTTTGTTAAGTGAAAGAAAATAATTATCACAATACTGTGATATTGCAAATAAAAATTCACATTTTTTCCCTGGAAGTGATTTGGGCAGTTGTATACCACGGAGAACTCGGTGTTCCTTAGTTAGAGTGGGTGTTTGGCATTATTCAGCATTGAATAGTATGAAGAGTGTTTAGTTCTATATTTGAAAGGGAAGCAAAGCCTTAGTTTCAAACCTGCCACGATGGAACTTGATTTGAACAATTTTGAAATAATTGTTTTCTGTTCTCTCTCATTTCCACAGAACACACCATGGCAACCCCCTTGGAAGACGTTGGTAAACAAGTACGTGTTCTGCCTTGTAGTGTCTTGATTTTCATGGAATGTGCTTCAGAGCTGATTCAGTTTTAAGTGCTTCCCTTGTCCCCAGGTCTGGCGTGCTGCCTTCCTTCTGGCTGATTACATTCTCTTTCAAAGGGACACGTTCAGGGGTTGCTCTGTGCTGGAGCTTGGAGGTGGCACTGGAATTACCAGCATTATCATGGGAACAGCTGCCAAGAGAGTTTATTGCACAGGTAAGGCAGTTTTTTCAGTTAAATATTTTCATGAAACTTGCCAAAGCAGTGCTTTCATCCTGGTATTTTCAGACTCATCTGTTCAGTTATAGTTAATAATTTTTATGAATGCGTATCAATTTGTGTTATTTACTGAAAAATAACAGGAACTTTCTCAAGGGGCTGAGAAAGCTCAAGAGTTTAAAAGCAAGATATGTTGCAGTGAACTCAAGATAGGGTGTTCAGATTAAAATAGGTAGTGTAGGAATCTATCTTCTTTCTTCAAGAATTGCTCAGAGCTTAGGACTGAAAGACAAAAGGAAGAAGGATACTAGGGGAGCAATCATCAGTGGACAGAGTTGCCCTGAATCTTCCTTTATCTCATGGGCTTGAGAGAAAGTTTGAGTATTAGTCTGAGAGGCATACATGGCCCGTACAAAATATTCTTGGTTTTAATATCATTATCTCTTCTTTTCCAGATGTTGGTGAAGATCTCCTGGCCATGTGTGAGCAAAATGTTGCATTAAACAAACATCTGATGAAGCCAGGAGGTATGTGCTGTATGGTCAGATTTTGACTCTCTACTTTAGCCCAGGTGCTGTCTGAAAGGCCATTTGTGACTGATGTGATCTTTGTTCAACCCCAGGAGGGGAAATTAATGTGAAAGAACTGGATTGGCTGAAAGATGAATTCTGCACTGGTAGGTGCTTCTAATGGCTTCTTTTAGATTGGGTTGGTGTTTGGTGTTACATGTTCAAAAGCCTCTCTTGGGCCTCAAAGAAGATTTTGGTTAATGACAATATTTGATACTGCCAGTTGAAAAGGTTTTATGTTTATTAGACTTTCAGATAAAGATTCTTTTAGTGAAGAATAACATTTTTAAAGCACGATAAAAGAGGAAGATTAATCAAAACTTGTATAAGGATATATCTGGGGTTTTGTTTAAAGATGTGCTTGCTTTAATGTATTTAAAGCTGTGATCTTGCCACAGGATTGTAAATTCTGAAGTGGAAGAAAACTTGCTTGCCAGTCAGCCTTGGGAGGGTTGGACATAACACAAAGAAAGCAGAGGACTGGGAGAACTTCAGAAGATGAACAGGGGAACTTTTGATTTCTCTTGAGTGATGTGCTCTGTTTATGGAGCAGCAGCTGCCCACAGGAGCTGGGAAATTCCTTTTCTCCAGTCATTTGAGACATTTAATCATGTACACCCAAGCCACATTCTTTCTTCCAGATCCTGAAGCTCCTTATAGCTGGTCTGAAGAAGAGATTGCTGATTTGCTTGATCACTGTTCTGTGATAATGGCAGCTGATGGTAGGGAAATACAAACAGTAAGCTTTTAAATCAAACACTCGAGCATTGTGAGTAATAATTTAAACATACCTAGTTTGCTTTTAAAATCTAATAGGTGAGATCCTTACCTAATTTGCCAAAGCTCTGTCTTAAGTGTTCCTGCCTGTATTTTTCTTTTCTAAACACTTATATTTACATTCTGAATTAGCAATTATGAGAACAGATGTTGCAAGCTGTAGCTCTTCCTTTTCTTTGGTGTGTCCTGCTTTCAAAGGAGATCTGGTTATAATGGTAAATTAATTATAGCCTAGTGTGGGTTTTTGTAAGGAAAGAGGCTCTCTACTCTCTGATATCCTGGTTTTTTAGCTTTGTAGTAAGATTATTTCCTGGCTGAGAGAATTCTTGTCAAAGCTTGTAAATTGCCTGACAAATGATTCCCATTCTGATGAGAGAAAGCTTAAAAAAAGCCTGGCATAAATAGCAGCAGTGAATACTCTCACAGGGTCAGTTGTTGCCATTAAAAATGTACTTTGCACTTAGGTAAAAGAGTGACTTGTTTGATTTGAGTAATCAAACTAAGGCCTGTTGTTTCATAATGGGCACTTCAGTAATTTATATCCTTAATTATACATATGCTCTTAATCTTGTTTTTAACAGTGTTCTATGATGATGACCTGACAGATGCCTTGTTCAGAACTCTGTATAGAATCACACACAACTTGAGAAACTCTTGCACAGTTTACTTAGCACTGGAAAAGAGGTGAGTATTACCAAGAACTTAATATAAAAAGCACTAAAACTGTGTGTTTTAATTAAAGGTTGGCTTCTGATTTTCATTGTATCAGCTGATCACAGGCTGCTCTATATGCTCAGGATAAGCCTTTTTTTTTTTTACTACATGCTTAATTTTTATCAGTTAGATTTGACTTTAAAAGGAGTTTGCCTTTTGTTGTCCTACCTTTGCCTCACCTGAGATACCCTCTGAGAAAATAAGGATAAATAGGTGGCTAGATTGATATAATGCCTGATAACATTTGCTGTATATTTTTGAGGTCACAAAAAGGACTTAAGTGGTTTAGAATTAGGGTATTTATTTCTTAGCTTGAGCAACTCTGGACCAGTTTCTCTTGTTTGCTCTCAAGGAATCAATGAATGTTTTTAAGTAATTGTGTGTTGGAGTCCATTCATAAGCTGATACACAAACAGGCTTTGCTTAAATCTCTAGAGATATGTAAGCAATAACTCTTCCTGTAGTTTGCTGCCAGATGTTTGTCCAGGAAGCCAAGCCAATGATTCTGTTGTGGCAAAGTGCCCTAAGATCAATGGAAAGGTTCATCCAAGAGTTATTGTGTACTGATGCTGATATAACATCTTTTCTGCTTTTCAGGAATGGGGGGTGTACATTTTTTTGGCTGCTGAAGGGAGTTAATTATGCTGAGAATATTCATTTTTTTCCTTAGCTGAGAGAAGTTACACACCTGTATAAGAGGCCAGTATAGGAGAGATGTTCTAAATGAATTACTCTTTTACCAGGCTGAACTTCACTTTAAGACATATGGATATTACATGTGAAGCTTACAGTCACTTTAGAAATACTCTAAATGATCTGGAGAACCTCCAAGATGGAAAAATGAAATATACAGTGGAGCCCATTAAGCTTGATTTCTGCCAGTTCCTTGTGTATGAACGGATTGAGCAGTTGGTAAGTGGCATTCATGAAAATAAATGTAATGTGTCAGGCTAATCATCTCAAATTAGTTATCAGCTGTTTATGGAACATGAAGGAAGAACAGGAGAATAAACATTATCTTTCATTTCCACTTAGTTTTTTTTATTTAAAATGATCCTTGTTTGTGCTTACATAATCTGTACTAGATTGACATGTCCTGGTTTTGGCTGGGACAGAATTGTTTTTCTACCAGCAGTAGGGTGGCTGAGATTGCCCTCAGTTCCTCAAAGGATAGTACTTTGTAAAATGGCATTTTTTGTGACTGAACTGAAAAATGGGACTAATAGCTCTTCTCATTTATTTTCTTGTAGGAGAACTTTCATTTCACACTTTCAGCAATTCCTTTCCCAGTTCAGAGTTCAGGACATAATGTTCTAATATCTATGAAGAAGTCAATTAGCTGTAAACTTGTGTTATTGAGAAACATGTCAGATATAATATTTCTGGTTACCTAATTACCTCTCAAGCACTTACAGTTCTCTTTCTCCGTTTTTTTCCAAATTATTTGCTCTTAGGAATATTATGCAGGGTGACTAGCAGCTAACAGGCTTCTAGAACAATCCAGTCTAATTAATCTTTTTAGAGGAGATGCAAATCTTGCACTGGATTGCAAATCTGGTACCAAGAAATTGTGTTGTTGTAGTGAACATAACATACTGTGTGTATGCATAGCGAGATGACGGGGCCACAGTAACCTCATGAGATTGATTTATTTTATTACTTAATGCTGATACCTTCAGGCATAAAACGTGTGTAAAACTTGTTTAAAAGTTTTAAAAGTACACAAAAGTAACCTGGATTATAGATAAATGTGTAAACTCATTCCCTGGCTGCTTTGAGGAAAGCTGCTGACCCTTGAAATCTATGCATTTTTAAAGTGCTTATGTTTTTATTTATCATTAGGTCTATTGCCACAGCTCAACAATTACATGGTGAAGAGTATGTGATAGTCTGCTTAATTATCCTCTGTGGAGCAGACAAAGCATATGTTAATATATTCTAAAGAAATGATTAAGAATTTTTAATCCTTGTTGTCTTGTAGGATTGAGAAGGGGGTTTGTGTTTATATAAGCCATGCATTTGTGAGACTTTGATTCCTTAGTAAATTATTCCTTCAGCTGTTTTTTTTTTTTTTTAACCAGCATTATTGAAACCATTTGTCAACACAGGCTAAGAAAAAGAGCAGGATTATCAGTCAAAATACTTAGGATTAGCAGGATTACCAATCATGATCATGCAGATCAGTGAAATGACAGAATCACAGAACATTCTGAGTTGGAAGGGGCCCACAAGGACAATTGAATCCAACTCTTAAATGAATGGCCTGATACAGGAATCCAACCCACAACCTTGGCATTATTGGCACCATGCTCTGACCAACGGAGCTAATTTAAAACTATTTTAAAACAAACTACTTAATACTAAACACACATTATTTTTTTAATCATGCTACAAGAATGAAGCAATCAGCTATAGTGCTCTGTTTCAAATAATTGTTCCAGGAAATTACAGACATGGATTTGGTATTCATCCATAGATGGATACTATCTATAGCTGGAGGTATAGGGCATGGCTTAAGACTTGTCTTACAGTGAGCATGTGGAATTTTTTCATAGTTGCAACCTACTGATGTGATAAAACAGTTGTATGTATTTTTTCTGCTCCTACAGGAATTGTGGAAGATCGTGGCTCAGCACCTAACGTGACAGGCCCACCAGGGAAGAGAAGATCTTTACCTGAGGAGAAGGGCTGTTTTGATGTTCTGTTAAGATAAGGATTTTCATCCCAAGAAAAGCATCTTCCTGGTGGAATTGTGTTCTCAGAAAGTATTGCAAGGCAGTTTTGCTTTACTTTTTTGGGTTTGGCACTTCATTTCTTGGACTTGTGCACTTGGACATGATTTCTTTGATGTTTCCAAGTACCTGCTGGATGCCAGGCAGTGGCAGTGACTTGCTTTTTGGGTTGATGACTTCACTCTTAGAGTCTGGCAAAGAAGAAGAAGAGGTTTGGAAGGTTTGGGAGAACCTTTCCCATGTTGCTGATTTGCAGATGTTGTGCATTTCCCTTTTCAGTTTACACAACATGGACACAGTTCTCAGTCTCATCCCAGTTCCACATGTTATTTGTATTTATGGACATTTGTGAAACAATGTTCTGGACAAGACTTGTTTGACATGAATGAAATTTTCTTTAAGAAATTTGTTTATGAAACTTGGCCCTTAATTCTCAGTTTGGCCTATATAAATCACTCTAGTTTTGGGCCACTGTCTGACCTGAAAGGAAACAAGATGCATTTTGTTTGAGCCTCTAAAAATACTCCACAGACGTTTTGGAGTATAGGAAGTCAACCCTTTATTGTCCTGCAGGAATTTTAAGCTAATCTGTCTTGGGCAGGTTGAGGATGAGAAGGTACCACATGAATGGAGATGTTATAGCTCTTGAAATACTTGGAGTTCTGCCCTCAGCATGTACATGTGAGGCTGGGGGCAGGGAACTGGCCAAGAATGTCTTGCCCAAACAAAAGTGGGCCTCTAATATCTTTTCTTCTGGATTAAAATAAAACATATTTATTAAATCGCTCCTGTGTTATTAATGAATCCAAAAATCTGCTTGCACTTTTATAAATGTTATGTGCACTGTTGTTTTTATATCACTTTGCTATATGTACACTGCCATGGGAATCTTTGTGCCCAGTGCATTCCTCAGCACCAGGAGAGTGTCAGTGATGGAGCTCTTGCAGCCTGGGACTTGTGGGAGTGTGCAAGAGGTTCATTAGAAGCATCTGATGGACTTCTTGAAAGTTGGTGCAGGTCAGTTATTTCATAACCTGCTTATGTGTCTGAAGACCTATTTTGTGTGTTCTTTAATAGGATGAAGGGTTATTAGATGATGATGGCCATTCCCTGTGAGTACAAAGTAAAAATTACATTATGTTAGCCCATATCTGCCTAGATTAATACAAAACTTCTCTCTCAGAACCCTCATTTGAACTTCAAAGATGAAAAACTGTGTTTTAATCCAAAGGTTCCCAAACTGATGTTTGCTGGTTTGTTATGTAATGTTACTAACTTTGGTAGATTCAACTATTTTTGAATGTAGCTGCTTATTTCAGTAGTGATTTTTTTGAAGGCTGTACAAGAATGTACAAGGCTGATGTGAAACAGTGTGAGCAGTTAGGCAATCCTGTGGCTTTTTCTCACACAGGATTTCTCAAAGTCTTTGGAATTATCAAAGAAACTCACCTGCAAGTCCTTCATTTCTGTGAAGGAAGAGAAAGTAGGCACTTAATTTAAAACCTATGAATATTTCTGCTCGGTTGAGGAGATTAAATTTTTGTTTGGAAAATTGACTTTCATTTTTGCTAAATAAAGTCATCAGGCAATTGGAAGCATTTCTGGATCTGGCTGGCAAATCCAGCAGTCATCCAAATGGATCATTTTCTGAAGAGAGGAACATAGAAGAGGTGAAGGGGAACCTGTGGAGCCCTTGCAGTGCACTTAGCTCTGATAAAAAGGAGGAGTGTCCAAATCTTGGGAAGTATGGTAATGGATAGACATATGATCTTCCAGTAGGAATCTGGTTTGAAACAAATGATTTTCACTTTTGTCACTGCCATATGGTGAAACAAATGACTTTTCTCAGTCCCCACGCCTCTCCTGTTTTTATCTCTCTTAAGAGAAGCAAAGGTGACACAATTATAGATATTGTTCAGGAGAAGAACTTGAACTTTATGTGACACCCAAATAAGCATTGCAAACTAATTACATTTATTTCTTTTAAATCTTTGTTGATGTCAGACTTGGAGAGTTGCTTTGTTGTGAATGGCTGTGTGTCATTTTGCAGTAGAAAAAAGTTGAAGACACTCCCTTGATGGGATAGATTCCGTATATTTATCATTGTTGGGTGTTCTCAAGTGTAGGTGGCTATTTGTAGGCCATCCTTGTAGCTCCATCTGCTGTACAACACTTTGAGTCAAAACATTTTACAGTTTGTTCAACACCCTGTTCCTTTCTAGTTTGACAATATTGTATTTTGGAGTAACAGTTTAGGTGGCATGTGTGGTTCTGCACTTCTCACCTAGACTTGCAGATAAAACTACAGTGGAAATAATCCTGAAAAGAAGGTAGTGTTTAATTGCCTACTTTTTGACAGTAGCTTTGCCTTCAGCAGTTTAGGGTTTTCAGGAGACATTCTAGGAAAAAGTAGATGTACTTTGTGTGTATGTGTGGTAGGAACTTCTCATTCCTTAGAAGATGAGGACTTAAATTGGATCTCAAAGTTTTATAGCAGGTAGCTATCATGAGACTGTCTAATCATTAACTCGACCATTTGTGGACTTCTACATCCACCACTAGTTCCAGTCCTTTTCCCTTTTAACAGAGAATTAAGGGCTATGTCCCTGGCAGTTGCATTTCTGGGTTTTGTTTTGTTTGCTTTGTTTTTTCATTCTGATAGACAACATTTTAAAACTTGGAGAAATAATTTTGTCTAAGATTTCTACTTACTGAGCTTATTTTATGTTCCAGTTGTATACTTCCCCCTTTCATAGTGTTGGTTATAGCAATTTTCCAATCTGGATTCTGATGTTTTTGACTCCCAGGAAACCTAATTGTAAGTGTAGTTTTCCATTGGATCAATGAGACCTAATCCAGCTGACTCCTGTGATCCAGTCAGGGCCATCAGTGGGGATCTGCTGCTGGGAGTATAAAGGAAGAGCAGAGCAGCTATTTTGATGGCAATGGATATCTGGCTCCACTTTGGAGTTATGTGTAACTGTGCTCCCAATGTGCAGTGCAGGGTGTGTTAGCAAAGCTGACTTTCCTCAGTCCTGTGCCTGAAACCACATTAACCAGAGTCAGACTGCCACGAGTGTGACAGCCAAATGCTGCTGGTGGTTTTAAAGACAGTTACTGGTGCTGATTGTTGGGTACAGGAAACTGAAGACTGCTTCTGAAAAGTGGGTGCTGCATTTCTGTCTGCTTGTTACGGCATGGCAAGGAAAGCTGCCTGTCTCATAAGCTTGCAGAGATTTTTCAATCTGCAAGTAAATTGAGAATTATTCACTTAATGCTTAGTAACTTGTCTTTAAAATGCAGTTCACCTCTTGAGTGTGATCGTGGCATTTGTAAGCTGAACCCTTTGGAGGTTCAAGTGAAGCAGGATTTGAAAATGAGCTACTTCTTGCTGCCAGGCTATCATGCTGTGGCATAGGTCAAGAGGTTTGTGTTTTTTACAGACTCATCTTGACCCCAACCTTCTGTGTGTCCTTTGCATCTGTGCTGGAAGTTGATGCATTAACAGAATAAAGCTTCCTCTTGAGAAATAACTGCCTCCTCATGCTGCCAGCAGTGCAGTCAGCTGTGTCAGTACAGCACATTGCCTCGGAGAAAGTTTCCCCCAGCAGATGGCACATGGAATGTCTTTAACAATACCAGCACCTAAAAGCAGTAACAAAATATCTACATATATATATGTGTGTGTGTGTTTATTAACACATTGCCCAGGCCAGCCCCACTGGTGTGAGCAAGAGATGCAAAGGAACATCTCTAGCTTGTGAGCAAGCTGAGTGTATTCTCTAAGCTTTTTGAGCAAATATTCAAAAAGAATACTCGTTGGATAGGGAGTAAGATATGAAAGATATTAATAATAATTAGAAGTAACATAATTTCTACCTCAAAGTTAAGTAAAAATACATATAATAAATTGGGCAAGAAAGTTGACGGGGAGTTGGACAGAAGATAGCATGAAAAAAGTAAATTTTACTGCTCTGTTCTTGTTCTGTGGGATATCAGTAGCAGGTTTACATTGTAGGATGATCAGAAGGGGCACCAAGAAATTATCTGAAATTATCTGTTCTGTATTCCTCTCAAAGCAGAATCATATTCATCTGAGAATCTTGACAAGTGTTTATTATCAAAGGCTCTCTTCATAGAGATCCTGCAATCTGTTCTAGTGCTTCCTTGTCCTTTATGATACAAGTAGTTTACTGCCATCTGAATGGCTCGACTGCAGACTCTCTTGTGATTTTGGACCATTAAATCTTTCTTACTGGAATAGACTGGCAGACATAAGGGTTCTGAAAGGGTAAGTGGAATGAGGGGGCGTAGATGGCCTAGCCTCCAGTGGTGTGTGCAGGGACAGAAGGATCCTGTAACACCCTCTGCAAATTGATGGTGTTGCAGCACATAAGAACAGCTCTGGCCTCTCGGAGCCTGCAGCATTCCTGCCTTGCTTGGGTCCTCTCCATCTCTCCTGTCTGGTGGCTTTCAGCTGCTCTGCCAAAATAGCTGCTCCAGGATACTCCCTGGAGCCTCCCACGGCGGTCCTCGAGGGCTGGGCAGGCTCTGACAGCTCCCCTCTCATGTGCATCCCTTATGAGTCCCAGCTCTGAGAAGTCCCTGGGTGGGGAGAGGGTGCCCGTGTGCTGCTCACAGGAGAGGGACGGAGGTGTGCATTTCTCTCATTGGCCTTTTGTAGCCAGGTCTTAGGTTCTGAAGAAAACCAAGGCTGTGAATGAGACATGAGTTCTGTAAGACGAGAGTCCAGACAGGGTTCAACATTCTTGCCATAGGTTCTGTGGATGAGATAGATAATAACATTTATTACTGGGCTGGAGATTCAAGGGCAGCATTGTACCTGCAAATACCACATTGCTGTAGCAGAACCAACAGCAGCTGAGCAGAATGTCTCGTATCAGATTTGAGCTGCTTCAGTCCACTACTGTCCGCAACAAAAATGGGTTTTGTCTAGGTCAGGTTTAAATGCTGGCAAAGATTTGGGTTTTCAATTTGGAATTTGACATCACGCTAGGTTTAATTTGAACTTCTAATCAGAGTTAGAAGACCAAAAGACTTTCTCAATTGCTGCCTTTGCTAAATTAAGTATGTCCCAAGTGGCAGCAGGTAAACACGAGGCAATAAGGAAAGGACAGTGGGTCTTTGTGGAGCTGTAACAGTGCAGGCAGGGATTCGCATCGCGGTTAGGAAAGAGGCTCGGGTGCGCGATGGATGGAGGAAACAGGCTCCGCTGCCCTTGCCGCGGTGGCCCCGGAGCAGGGGGCGCGGGGCAGGCGGAGAGGAGGCGGCGGGGAGGCGGCGGGCAAGCGGAGGGCAGACGGAGGGGAGGCGGCGGGGCGGGCGGGGGCCGCGGGGCCGGTGCCGTCCTGCCCGCTCGGGGACCCTGCCCTGCCCTGCCGGACCCGAGCGCGGGGCGGACCCCGGCGGGGCCCCGCGCCCTCCCCGTGGACGCCGGGGACCGCGGAGCGCGGGAGGGTTCGTCGTTCCCCGCGCGTTGGGAGGCGGGTTTGGGGTGCTCTGTGTGTGCCCGGCAGCGGCACCCGCGGCGGGCGGGTGGGCCCGGCACGGACCCGCGGCGGGGAAAGGGCACAGAGCCCGTGAGGAGAACGGCGCTGCCTTTGCGTGGAGGGCGCCCGGCTGAGGTGCTGCAGGCAGCTGAGTAATGGTGTTGGTGGAGGCCTGGTGCTGCACTTCAGCTGGGCTTCCCAGTCTGCTGCTGGTCATGCAAAACCCAAGCCAGTGGCTCATGCTTTGGTTTGATCCATCCTTAGCATCGCTT